TCTAAACTAATCCAGTCAAAAATATAAATAAAAATGGAGGCTGTTTTGATTGGCTTGGGGAAAACTATGGGATTTAAGTAAAATTTCCATTTATTTCTGAGGTGTCAGATTGTTCAAAGACATTTGAGAAAATTAACTCCACAGAGTTTATGCCTTTCCTCCTCAAAGAGGCCTGTGGACTAGACGAACAGGAATCATCAGAGATTATTCCTAAGTGACATTGTATTTGGAACTCTCTGCTTTTCTTTGATTCAGTTGAACAGATGTATGTTGGATACCTGGCTTCTCTAAGGAGGGTCATCCCTACTGTATTCCAGGTTCATCTGACAATGTACTAGACTTTTCGTGAAAAATCTCCAGCCTCAAAGGAGTGGGGTGGGTTCAGCAAATTAATGTCCTGGAGCTGCTGTGACCAATAACCATCCACTAGTGATTCAGACACAGTGACTGTAGCAGTGGGCTCACGTGTGTCAGAGATGATGAGAACGGGGTTCAGGTCTGTTGTTCCTAGGGTCACTGTAAGTCATACTCAGCTCGCCAGCACCTAACAACAACAACAGTGGGTTGTTGTAGAGGAGTGCATAGGTAGGGCATACTCTGTTGCTAATTGACTGAAAAGCTGGAGGTTCAAGTCCATCTAGAGGCCCCGTGGTAGAAAGGTCTGATAAGCTACCTCCAGGAAATCAGCTTCTGAGTGCCCTTTGCAGCACAAAGCCAGCTCCACCTCAGCTGCTTGCAGTGACCTACAGCAGTTCATTCTCTCACAGTTCTGGGGACCTGGGGACCAAAATCAGCTTATCAGCCATGACACCGAAAGAGGCAGCTGTAGCAGAAGGCTCTCTCTTTCGCTTCTTCCGGCTTCTGGCAGCTGCTGGCATTCCTTGGCTTGCGGCCACACCACTCAATGTCTGCCCATGGTAATACTGCTTTCCTTCATGTGGCTCAAATACCCACTTCTTTCTCTTTTATAAGCTCAGTGGTTATTGCACTTGAGGACCCACTAGGAACAAACCCAAATGTTTTCCCTGTCTCTTAATCATATCTGCAAATCTGTGCTATATAAGGTGACCGTTCCAGACAGGATTAAACCAATTCTAGTTGTCACCAAGTTGATTCCAACTCAGAGAAGCCCAGTAGAGCAGAGAAGAACCACCTTACAGAATTTCCAAGATTGCAGTCTTTATAGAAGCTGCCTGCAACATCTGTCTCCCATGGAGCTGATAATGAGTTCCAACTGCTGCTTTTCATTTAGCTGTCAAAGGCTGAACCACTGTGCCACCAGCCCTCCTTTCCGCCAGATTGTTTGTTCTTGTGTACCATCGAGTTGGAACCAACCCATCGCTGACCCTTCAGTGAGTTTTCAGAGGCAGTAAATCACACTGGACAAGATTGCCCATCTTTATCCCACAGAGCAGCTGGTGGATTCAAACAGTGTGCCTCTGGGTTATCAGCGCAGCTCCTTACTTCTAGGCCACTGGCACTTCCGTTCCAAGGATTAGAGTGTGGGTATTTTTTGACAATTCTGTTATCACAGTTCATCTCCTTTATAAGTGATTTTTGTATACTGCCCTGTACTCTGAGGCATGTATCTGGAAACAGAAGGATGCCCAAAGTATTGACCGAACTGGCCATGGATGCTGATGTCTTGGGTTGACTGCCTAATTCTTCATAACTGAAACTAACAGTGTTGTAATCCTTGAAGAGCACCATGTCAATCTAGCCAAGAAAGGCAAAGATGTAGGGCAGAGTCGTCCAAAGCACAGAATAACTGCTGTTCCTTGATTCAACCTGATGGGGTGGAAGGAAGGCCATTTCCAAGGGTGAAGTGCATGTCCCACTTGGATATTGAATCCTCAGCAGGCTTACCTCCACTTGCTCTGGGCCTCCCACTAACACTCAGTTTCTGAGGAGCACCTCATCTTCTTTAGAAGGAGCTTTTGGCTTCTTGCCATGGAACAGGACCTTCTAAGACTCCCCTCCTCCCTTTTCCTTCTTCCTGCCAAGCTGTCTACAGTCCAGGGAGTTTTTCTCTCCAGCAAGTGCAATACCTAATCTGTCCCTGTTATGTAAGAGTTTAGAAACAATGAGGCCATTTAAAAGGCTATTGGCCTCCCTCCAGAAAATACTCAAGGTGTTTACACTGGAAAAGGCGCAGGGTCCTATATCCCTACATCCATTCTTTGTGTAAATTCCCCACCACTTCCTGTGTTCCTCAAGGAGACAGCTGGGATTGGTAAGGTGACGTGGTGATGGTCTGGAGGGTGAAGTCATTTAAACCTGGAAGTATCTTGGGCGACCTTAGACGACAACCCAGAGACTTTAAGAAGAACCGTCTTTGGCATGGTAGGAAATGAAAGTAATTTCTAGCAGTTTGCTAATGGTGGGTCTGTGAAATTACTGCAGCTAAGAAAAAGAACATCTTAACTGAGTGGTCTGTCCCCTCCTCACCCGCACCATTAAGTCTCACCTTCACCTTTACGTTTTTTTGTCCCTTTAACTTTACCTGGAGTCATTTGGACTACAGTACTTACCTTTGTTCCTGTTTTAAAATTACCTGAATCAGGCGACTGGTAAATATTGATTGGTCAACAGTTTCCAGTCTTAGGTCACAGTTAGGTCTTCTTCATAACCTAGGTCAGTCACTACTCCTAATGCCAGACCCCCCCCCAAAAAAAAAAAAAACTCCAGGTAGTCGATAATTTCATTTTGCTTGGATTGACACGCAGAGAATCAGCAGTCAGGGAATCAGACAGTGTATTGCATTGGGCAAATCTGCTATCAAAAAGAGGGAAGGAGTGAAGGAGTTAGTAAAGATCTACCTGGTGGGGACTTGAAAAGGAAAAATAATGGTGGGCAAGTATCAATAGTGATTACTTTTTTTTAAAAAAAAATATCTGTTTTGTTTTTTAATTTTATATGGTTTTATTTGCAAAATTTAATACATTGTTTTTCACATAAGATTGTTCCCAATTCCTTCAACCCACCCACCCATTGAATGTGCAACCCTATGATTAATACCCTAACCCCTACCTATCCCTCACCCCTCTATTTCCACCCTCTCCCACCTCCCTTGGGTCCTCATACTCATTCAACAATAATGGTCTTCTACAGTATATGTCCTTGTGGGACTGAGTGAGTTCACTCAGAATAATGCTCTCCAGACCCTCCCAAGTTAGGTAGTAATTTACAAAATCATTGTTCCTGAGGGCTGCATAGTATTCCATTGTGTGAATGTACCATTTTCTTTTTTATAAAACACTATGTATGGAACGATCATATGAGGCACAATGTGAATAGAGGAATGTGTGAAAGACAATGTATATAAATGAAACCCAGGATATACGAATTTTGTATGCAAACCATTATAAAATAAAAAGAATTTTATAAAAAACCTCTTTAAAGTACTAGAAGCGCAAGGATGGCATTTTAAAGAGTAATTTAAAGACTAGTGTGAGCCTGTCCTAAGCGGTGGTATTTTCAGTAGATTTTCTTTGTACGTAAAAATTGCAGAGTGATTAAGATTGAAGAAGAATTGATTCCTCTGAATTGCGTTTTTGTCAGAGAATACTGTGTATAGCCTGGACCACCAAAATAGTATATAAATTTGTCGTGGAGAGAATACAGCCAGAGTGATGTTTTGAAGTAAGAATGGTGAGACTGTGTCACACGTATGCTAAGCCTGTTTATCAGGAGGGGCCAATCGCTGCAGGAGAACATCATGTGTGGAAGCCTAGTCAGTAAGGGAGAGGAAGACCTGGAAATAGGTGGGTTGACACAGTGGCTGCAGCGGTGGGCTTACACACAATGGAGGTGGAGGAGATGGTGCATGATAGGGCAGAGTCGGTTCTGTTTTATAGATGGGTCTTCAGGGTTGTTTTGGATCTTGAGTCAGCTCAACTGAACCTAAAAACGACAGCAGAGAATTTCAAAGACAAGGCCAGGAACAGCCCTCCCTTCTGCCCTAATCTAAAATTGGGAAAGTTCAGGATTCTCCAATGGTGTTCTTCCAGCATGCTCTCTAGTTCTCATTCCAGTGTTCCACTTCCACTTCCTACGTCTGGAGTCTGTCTCATATGTTCTCGGTTGGTTACTTCGTTTTTCATTAAGGAAGTTGAAGTTCCTGTGTGTGCACAGTAGTGCCTAAAGCTAGGAAGACTGGATCGAAGGAACACTTGTTACTTCCTAGGTATTCAGAGTCCCTGAGCAGCCTCCTTTAACACGTTGCCGCAAAAGACGGCAAAATGTGTTTCTAAGCACGGTCGTCAATTTAAAAGCGTGCAGCAACATGTTTAAAGGCAATAGGAGCTGACCATGCGCGAAAGGCTGGCGTTCTGTCCTCTTCCCTGGTCCAAGAACAGTGATGGAGGGCTGAGAGTGAGGCATTCTGGCTGCTCCTGCTTGTCTCATACCCTGTCACTTTGTGTGCTTGCTCCCTCCTCCTCTTATGTTTTGACCTTTTTGCTGGTTTTGGCCCTGTCATTGGTGTGTGTTGTTGAATCAGAATTGACCCGTAGCTGACCTTCGAGTGGATTTTCGGAGACAGTTCATTTCACAGGAGGAAATTATCCATCCTTCTCCTGTGAAGGAGCTGACGAAGTTGAACCACGTGCCTTTGGGATTACAGCGCAGTTTCTCACCACCAGGCCACCAGAGCTCCCGAGAGGGAAGGCCTGTTTTGTGTATAGATTTTGATCTGTGGTTTCCTTCTTTGATCTAATCCACCAAATTAAAAAACCAAAAGCCCCCTTCTGAAATTGAGAGAAGCTTCACAGATCACACCCTCTGGTATTTCTTGGCATTATTTCTCCAGGTTTAGAAACAAAGAGAAAAAGTGGGATCAAATGAAGAGGGGGGAGGAAAAGGGACGGGAGTGTGTAGGCTTGAAGTATTTGAGGAAAATCTCTCACAGACACATACAGGTAAAAGCCACTGACCTTTGATCTTCACATGTTTCATTTTCTTTGCTGATGAGACTCTCCTTTGTTTTGTTTCAGGTCTAGAGCACCATCATGGCCAAGCCCTATGAATTTAACTGGCAGAAGGAAGTCCCTTCCTTTATGCAAGAAGGAGCTGTTTTTGACAGATATGAGGAGGTAAGATTTTGTTAATCCTTTTTCCCCCCACAAAATATTCTAATAATTATTTCGTTTTAATTAAAGGATTAAGTAAATATCCTCTGATATGAGTAGGGGCATCTGTGCCTTTCAGATTTGTTAGTTAAAACATTTGGAAAGAAGCCAAGTTGGGGAGCTATGACAGTGATAGTACAATTTATTGAGTGCTCGCCTCGGGTCGGATGCAGTAATTATAACACGGATGTATTTTATTTGGCATTTACTACGTGCTAGACAACCTTCGAAGCATGTGTGCCATTTTTAACTCCTCACACCATCCTCATCAAGGGGTCGCTTTTCCCCCACTGGTTTCCTGCCGTAACACTTTTGACTGAAAGAAGTCTCTTTGCTGAGCTTCTCACAGAAATCTTTCAGTGCTGCATAAATCTGCTAGTGATTGAGCTTTCTGCCGGTCATTTAATTTGCTTGTTTCATTTGTGCACCCCAAGTTGGCCAAAGCGCCCATTGTCTCCACCGCTGTCATTTGTTGTTTGTGCTCGTGTGAATTCGGCGATGGCCTCAGACTGTGTGTGAAGAGCTGCAGAGAGTGGAGAGTGGAAACCTCATTTGTATGGACAGTGCGCTCCTTTTCTTAGAACTGTTGTTAGGTCATGTAAGACTCACAGCGACCCTCTGACCAACAACAGCACAGACCCCTGCCCTATCCCGTGCCCTCTTGCTGATCCTTACGTGCTCCAATACATGCCTTTTAGGGGAAATCCATTAGGGCGATTTGTTGGAATGGCTTGTGGCTTCTAAAGCTAGGCAAAATGTAAACTTTGTTAAAAGTTCATATAGAGCCCGAGTTGCTTGCTTTCTAACTCAGTGGAGTGAATGTAATTGTTACCTGAAAATTGGATTATTTTTTTTTTCTTCCTAACACTGCATAGTGGCCAATTAAGCTATCAGTCAGTTGCTCAGGTTGGATTGATAGAAAGATTTATTAAGGTGTTTTGTGCATTAGTGAGAACCAGACAGGGCCTAGACACCCCAGATTTGCCATGCTAGAGGCCGAGTTACTGTTGCTTATATAGGATTCAAACAGAGAAGAAGGAAAAATGCAAGCAGTCAGGGACACATGGGATGAAACATGTTATTCAAGATGTAACGAAGTCACAAGGCTCCAGAAAACAAAGACAGCAAGGGCGGGGAGTATTCTTCTCACTTCCTTTCTTTCTCCAGCTCACAAGATGCCCAGGTCTCACTGGTGCTAGAGGAGTTTGAATCGGTCAGAGCGCTTTTTCAGAAGCGTGGGATGGCAATAAAGTGAGGAAACCATGAGATGGGAAAGCCAGGGAGAACTCAACAGATACAGGGGACAAAAGGCTTTCAGAGCTGGAGTGACTCTGGCTCAGCCTGTTTTCATGTGAGGAATCAGCAGGTCCCCCAGATCACCAAATGCAGAAACTACCTCTTCATCCTTCCTTCTGAGCCCTAACGTGACAGCACTTGATACTGGTTTTCCGAGATGACTTTGGGAAATCAGGGTCATTTCTAGGCAGAATCAGCTCAATTAGTAGTCTTTTGGTTTCATTTTTCTATCATAGTACTTTTGGAATTCATCATATTTCTTTTCTAAGCTCACAAAAAGGCAAACAATAGTGAATATTCCTTGTCTTGAACTAAAGAATTTAAGTAACAGTAATTCATAGGACTGATAAATTACTGTCTTCAAGAAATAACATTAACTGCACCCTCCTACAAGGGAGCTTTGGTGGCCTAGTGGTAAGGAGCTTCCCTGCCATTCCAAAGGAAAGGTGGTTCAAATCCACCATCCGCTCCACAGTAGAAAGACGGACAGTCTCTTCCTATGTGACATCCTATCTCTGAAAACTAGTTAGAAGATCAACTATAAGTCACTTTCAACACAGCAGTACATAAAATGAACACCCTCCTAAGAAGAAACAGAAAATAATATTCTACCACTTGGAGCCCCAGACCAAACCTATTAGCATCCAATAATTGACACCTAACAACCTTGTAGGACAGCAAAGAAGTGCCCCACAGAGTATTCCAAACTGTAATCTGTACAGAAGCAGGTTGCTCATGTTACTGAATAAAAGCAGCTGGTAGGTTCAAACTGCCAAACTTCAGTTTAGCAACTGAGCTCTTTCACCATTTCACTAGAGTTATTATCCACCTAGAAGCAGGTAGTTATTGTTTATTTTTTGGCTATTTCTTTCCATTCTTCTAAAATATTTTTCTTTTATTTATTCATTTGAGTGAGAGTTTACAAATCATTCTAGTTTTTCCTACACATACATTTTTGTATTAAAACATTGGAATTACACTTTCATTGGGATATTCATACACTTTTTATGACATTAATTACCATAGTACTGTAATTAATGAATTACAATGTTTAATCATCCCAGTATTGTATATTGTCTTTCCTTTCACCCCATCTCAACTATTAAAATTTTTGGTTTAGTCTTGTTTTTTTAAGTTTGAATGAAGGTTTACAATCATATTGATCTTTCATGCAATCATTCATGGACTTTTTCTTGTATAATATCAGTTGATTAATCATTCCAGTCTTTTTATGCTTCATTTTCTTTTCTCTGTAGAGTTGAGATCATAATCTTTGAGAATAGAAATCAGATCCTGTTTCCCCTGTATTTGAAATGCTTCCTGACTGCCTGTAACAGGATAAAGCACACTCCTTAGAATGAAGCACAAAGCCTTTCATCGTCTGGCTGCCGCCTAGACGCACGCTATCATTTCACACCAACTCCCACACGTACGCTCTGCTTTAGCCCCATGGTTCCCTGTTACATGATTTGAACAAGCTTCTTTCTCTTCTGACATGTACATGTTCTTCCCATTTGTCTGGCAAGCTCCTACTCATCCTTCAGAACCCAGAGGGAAGCCTCTTCTCCTCTGGGATGTTTTTCTTGGCTCATTCAATAAGAGACAGCAATTCTTGTGGGCCCCTGCTAACCTATCCTCGCATATTCTGCACTCACTTCACCTTTAATTTGTATTTTCTTGCTCATCTACTCTGCTGTCAGATTCTTGAGATCAAGGACCATTTTTTTTGCCCACTCTTTCCAGGGACTAACAGAATATTCTCAACTGCTAATCACTACAGATAAGAAGTTTAGCATAAAGAAGGGGTTTGTAGGCAATTGGTTCCACTCGGTCTACTCTTTCTTGTTTGTTTGATTTTATTTTATTGTAATAATTTTAATGAACATTTACAGAGATTTTGGATTTCCATTCATTCATTGTTGCACTTTTTTTCCCTGCCCACTCCCCCCCTCCCCCCCAGTTCGCTCCTCTCTTTGAAAAGTAAAAGAAAAATTCTTTCTTTGGTATACAATCCCCTCACACCCCTTCCACCTTTTGACAATTGAAATTTTGATAATTAAATCCCAGAGACCTATAGGAGAAATGTGGATGTTAATAGATTCGAATATTAGGTTAAACCACTTGAAATACCCTTATTATAAATAAATTATCGATATGAGCAATTTTATATAGTTCATCTCAATACCAAGTTATTTCAACTGACTTTCACTCATTTGTAATACTTGGTAGAGAAAGCCAAGGCTTAGAATAAATGTATTTCCAAAGCTTTTGCCTAAATGAGCCAAATCTCAGTCAGATACCAGAGTCACTAGGTTGATGGCCAATGACCCTTATCAGGAGGTGGGGTTGTTATGTATCATTAAGTTGGAACCAAACCATAACTGACACTCCAGTGGGCTATCAGAGACAGTAAATTACACAGATGGAGATTGCTGTCTTTTTTTACACACACACACACACACATCTATACATATAATTGTTTTCTTAATTGCTTCCTATGGATCTGAGAGCTGGACAGTGAATAAAAATTAAAAACAAAGAATTCATGCCTCTGAGTTGTGGTGCTGGAGAAAAGTATTGAGTATACCATGCACTACCAGGAGAACAAACATGTCTGTTCTGCAGAGAGTGAAACCAGTTTGATTGTTAAGGCAAGGATTTTGAAGCTCCATCTCACATACTTTGGGCATTTCACCAGGAGGGACCAATCCTTGGAGAAGAACATCATGCTTGCAAGGGCAGAAGGTCAGCACAGATGAGGAAGTCCTCAGATGAGATGGACTGAAACAATAACTAGGGCCATGGGGTTAGATGTGTCAGAGACAGTGAGATTGGCTCAGGACAGGCCAAGGTTCAGAGCCATTGTTTCATAGAGTCTCACTGTGGGTCACAGCTGACTCGACGCATAATGAAAACAACATATAATCTGGTATCCTTTTCCAATTCACTTCTTTCTCTACTGTCAGCTTCCTCTTTCTCTAGTGCTTAACAAAAAATGAAAAAGTGTCTCCCCCGTCAAACTAGTTAAATAGAAATACGTTTTCTTCTGAGCATCTACCTGCCTTTCACCTCAAACTCTTCCATCCAGACCTTCTTAAGGCCGCCCCATTTCATAGCCTTGAAGGTCAATGCTTGCATTTATACTTGCAGAGTAAATAATTCAAGAGCTTTGAACTTCAGGCTGCAGCTGTCTTCCTCCACACTTTGCAGCCTGACTTCTGGCCATGACAAACTCATTGCAGTCAAGTCAGAACCAACTCCTAAATGATCCTCCAGTGAGTTTTCATAAACTGTAAATCACAAATCCCGAGGGAGGAATTTACGCATCTTTCTGCAGCGGAGCTTCTAGTGGATTCGAACTTCCAGAAGGGCTGAGCATTTGGGTTAGCCGCACAGCTCCCTAAGGCCTGTGCCACCAGAGCTCACTCCCATGGTGACGGTCGTGCGTTTGTATTGTGCTGTTACAGCTGCTGGTAGCCACGGGTAGCTGTTGGACAACTGAACTGTGGTTGGTGTGGCCAACAGCCTGACATGTTAATGTGATTTAATTTTTATTTACATAGTCACGTGACTAGTGACTGTCTTCTACAAAAGCACCTCAAACCAAGGCAGATATAAACATCCTTTTTTCCCCAACTCAAGAAATAGTCCTCAGGTCACTTAATAAG